CACACTCCCTATTCTATCAAAATAAAAAGATGTTACAAGATGGCACCCAGCCACCATCTTAAAATGTTCAGCTGTTATTCTTACGTTAAAATGCATCACGCGTCAATTCCACCATTTCGATTTTCAGCTTGCTAACATGATCTGTTCGAAACATAAGTATGGGGGGCTTTTTAAAAAGCACTATAATAGGGAATTGTTAAATCACCTAACTACATGGTATTGAAATATAAACATCGCTACCACTGTTGAATCACCTTGTATGTGCATAGCAATGTCCGATTCCTTTCAATGGATATCGGTTGTGTGATAACATGCACATAAAAAAAAATCGGCACAACTTTCACCGCACAGTGTCTTCCGCGGTCTTCAGCTTCTGACGACAGTCAATTCAAAACAATCAACAGGTGTTTGTGACTTCTATGATGGGCAAAGGAGGATGTAAAAGCGAATGGGTATGTTTTGTTTAAATTGTTCGGAAACCAATGTAAATTTTGAATCTACGTTATTTTCTCTAAAATATGGACTGATTAAACCTAAGTCACAAAACAAAGTGTAAAGGTATGAGATGGAACATTTCGAGATTTCGCTTGTTTATTAACTTCAGGAATAGGAACGTGATATTTTTGCAAGGTACAGGTAATTGGTAAACCTTCCAAAATGAGACATTCTCTTGAAAATACAGTTCGTATTTTTAGAAGATTTAGATGAAGATGGCAACGTTATAAAAATATTTAGATTTATTCGTGTACATAGTCCCTACGTAGCAGGAGAAATGCCTGAGAGTTTTTATGGACATAGTTTTTGTAATACAGGGTGTAAACGTTATAGTAGGTAGCCATTATTGAAATGGGTAATAGGATGGGTCAAAACAAATCAAAAAGTTCATATGACCCATGGTCCAAAAGTCAATAGATGTTTGTCTGAATGGCTTTATAGTTTACAACTTTAAAGTGCTTTATATCGATCACAATCACCACAATTTTTATAATCTAATCTAAAATGTTTTTAAATTGGGTAATTAAAAAATAAATGGCATTAAGTTTTTCTAAGTTAAGCCAAAATTTGTAGTCAGTAAGTAAGTAAGTTTCAGTAAATTAAATATTTAAAACACACTTGATAACAGCGCGTCCGTCTGTCATCACTCTTATCGAACCGGCAATCGATCGCAAACGGTAACAGCAGAGCATCGGGCGTGTTGTTTTGTGTTTGTTTTTAATACGTTCAATAAACTTTCTCACACCAGGTGAAGCGCTGAGACAGTTAGTGGTAAGTCCTTTTCTTTAATGGTTTGCATTTTACGAGTACATTAGCAATTGATGAAATAATACCTAAGAGCCAAAAATAACAAACTCCACCTTTATTTACACTGCGTTCCGTCGTAATTTGCGTGTGGCATTGCGGCGTTGTCAGATTTTATTTTACTTTAAAGTCGCTTTTCTCTAGAAAAATGCCGTTTTGACCCCCATCTTATATAATAATAATAAATAGGCTTTATTTCGTACCTAAGTAAAAGCACAAACAAGGCGAAGTGTCGCTAAGATTAGCGTTTTTCAACTTAACCTTAACAATATATATATATATATATATATATATATATATATATATATATATATATATATGTATAGGTGAAAAATTAAAGCTTCCGCCTTTTGTTGGGTACTTCGACAACATTTAAGCAAAGAGGACTCTTTATACTTTTTTTAATTCTCTCTAGCTTTCAATGGACTTTGCCATCATCATCAGGAGCTGCAATTACAATAACAGTAGCAACAAAAGTGTAAAATGAATTTAAATTGACTCAACTTACAGTAGTATGTGAGGATGTTGCTAATTGTTGTTTACGTATAGGATGAGGAAAACGTCCAGTAACATGGTGAGAGCTGGATACATGGTACAATGGTCAAAATTATATAAAATATGACAAGACAAGTTAAAAACAGATTAAAAATTATTTAAAAAACATTAGAGCATTACGTCGTGAAGCCACTTGATGATTGCACAAAATGGTGGTCATGGAATAATGAGTGAGATGAACCTTTGACAGAAGGCCGAAGGTTGTCAATGTCTGTGTTGAAAGATGGAACGAATTGTGGGCGTGTGCCAAAAGTTGTCAAATCACTTTAGATGATGTGATTTTCAGAATGTTATGTAAGAAATTGTTAAACCGACCAGAGGCAGTTGAATAAACTATATTTTAATTAATGGGAATTTTAAATTAACAATTATTAATAAATCGTGAGAAGAGAATTATTAGATTTTGAGTGGAATGAAATTTGTTGGTGGAATCGGCCAAAACACAGATTATATTTATGGTTGTGAAAAGTCGAAATTTGGGGAGATAGGTAAGTTCTCCAATGACCACGTCTCAAGTTATATTTATATATATATATATATAATAAAACATTCCACCAACAAAAAAATGTATCCATAATTCTCAATAATTACTAAATAATTAACAACACAAAAAAAACATAACAATTACAAGAATAGTCTATATTTCTAGAATTTTTTATTCATCATCAGACCTCGACTTGTAGTTTTAGTTTAAGACTCTTTTTAAAATTAAATAATGTATAGTTTTGGAATGTAACAGGCAATCATCATATAATTTAATAGCATTGTAGCTGAATGATGTTTTGTAGACAGCGTTAGAATGTAAGGGTATCACTAACATATTCCTATTCCTTGTATTCAGTTGATTTATGTCACTACATCGTGTTAACTTATTATGCAAATATTGTGGTTGTTTGGTAGCTAAGACCTTATGTGTGAGTGTCAATAAGTGAAGCTTTTGCATGCCTTTAATCTGCAGAATACCAAGTTCCTTAAATTTATAAGAAATATGATCAAACTTTCGTATTCCGCAAGAAAATCTGACGCACGAATTCTGAATACGCTGTAATTTGCTTTGTTCACTATATGATCGAGCTGCGCCATATATACTGTCACAATAACTGATCTTTGATATAATTAATGTTTCACACAGTTTCAGATTTACTGAAGTAGTTATTATTTGCCTATGTGGATAAAACTGTTTCAAAATGCAGTATGATGCACTACGTAACGAATTTACGTGTTTTTTGTATTTTAGTTCTGTGTCAATCCCCAGGTTTTTACACTCATTCATTATAGGAAGCCGGTAATCATAGATTTTAAGGTTAATTTCCGTTTCGATCAATGTTCTTTTGTTTTTGGAGCCGAAAACCATAACTGAAGATTTTGATGGATTAATTTTTATGTTATGCGAGCACGAGATGTCTACACTAGCCTTGTTAAGTCTTCGTTGATCAATGCTTCTGCTATTTTAAAATCTTTGTGTTGAAAACTAAAATAAATTTGAGTATCATCAGCATAGTTATGGATTGTGCAATTATGGACATGTTGATGAAAATCCGATATATATAGAGAGAAAAGTAAAGGTCCCAGTATGGAACCTTGAGGAACACCAAAACTTATAACAGTTGACTGTGACATTTTCGAAGCTGTTAACACCTTTTAATTTCTATTTGACAAATAGCAGCTTATCAAATTGACTGCAGCATCAGTAAAACCATAGTAAGACAGCTTAAGTAGCAGAATTTCAGGGTCTATCATATCGAAAGCTTTTGTGTAATCCAGCAGAACTAAAAAAGTGATATTTCCTTGATCTGATAACATCATCAGTGACATTGGCTAGAGCAGTTGTTGTACTATGGTTTTCCCTGAATTCAGACTGCATTGATGGAACTATTTCATTACTGAAAATATACTGAGATATTTGTATCTTCATTTCCCGTTCCAAAAGCTTCGAAAATGCGGGAAGTAAGCTGACTGGTCTGAGTTGCGTTACAGACGTGGGAATCGCTACTTTAGGAATAGGTGTGATGATACCCTGCTTCCAAGCATCAGGGAAACAGGATGTTGATATTGCGTGATTGATTATAAATGTAATATGGTCTAAGAGCAAAGTGAAAATGTATTTTATCATAATGAGTGAGATTCCATCAGCCCATACAGCATTAGTTTTAATAAGTGAGAAACTCTTCGCAACAGATTCTTTGGCAACCTTTTGGAAACAGAATGACTTGGGAAACTTATTGTTTTGATATTTGTTCAGTAGTTCTAATTGCTTTTGTGTCTTGGTTATGATTGGAATATTTGAGAAATGTGAATTTATTTCATCTGCGTCATTGAAGCTATCTGGAAGAGTATTTATAGAGGACTTAATTATATTAAGTTTCCTAAGAGAACTCCATATTGCTTTACTGTTCCTCCCAGATAGGATATATTCTATATAGGCCTTTTTTTCTATCCGAAGAGCAGCAGCGGCAGCGCAATTACGGAGTTCTTTATAATAGTTCCAGTGGGCAGTTGACTTACTTCTTTTAAACCTTAAATACGCTTTATCTCTAGCTTTATTGATCATTTTAATATTGTATGTTAGCCAAGGAGCTGGTGGTTTAGTAACAATAAGTGTTCTCATAGGTGCACATATGAAACTTTTTGCTACTTTCAACTCCCTCTATCAGCCGGCCGGCCGGGTCGCGAGTTCGAATCTCGCCTTCGCCATGGATGTTGTGACGTCGTGTGTTTGTACATAATTAGATATATTCTATATACAACCTAGTTTCTGGCTGCATGGCTTAGTCCTAAAGCCAAAAAAAAAACCCCTCTATCACCCATTTAAATAATGACTATCATAACGTTTACACCCTGTATAAATACGAGTAGATTATAAATACACCACGGCAAGACTCTGTAATAAGTTACAGAGAAAACAATAATATAAAACTGTAAATTCAAATAGAGAAAACATTTCTTTATCAGCTGATACAAAAAATGAAAGAATCTAAATTAGCTTCGCTAACCACGAAATAACGTTTGCTTACTCTTGCTGTCAAGGGCGGCATATAATTATAACAAGTCTGCTTATGTAATACTTGAACGGCAGCAGAAGTGCAGTGTAAAAAAAGAACCATTCTATACTAAAGCAACCCATTGACAGTTTGTTTTCGTTGAAGGACTACCAAAAGGCAACGAACATACGCCCAGAAGAACACCACGTATCAAGGGAAAAACGAGGGAAGATTTTGGGCCATGGCAAATCGTTCAAAGGATGCACTATCTGGTTCACTGGACTGTCGGGGGCAGGGAAGACAAGCATATCTTTTGCGCTGGAAGAGCAATTGGTGAGCTACGGTGTACCAGCGTACAGTTTGGATGGCGACAACATCAGGCATGGTCTGAACAAGAATTTGGGATTTTCGGAGGAAGATAGGAGGGAGAATATCAGGAGAGTGGCAGAGGTAACTAGATAAGAGAAACTTCTATTATAAACTATTAATACAGCCTGCTGACCATGGACGAATGTTTTATGCTAAGCGAAGCAACTATCCTCTATCCAGAGTATAATATAGCCCAAAGTTCCATCTATTACCAGAATCGAGCACCCTGTAGATTTCTTTTATGATGTACACATCCTACTCTAGCTGAAAAGTTGCAATATATGCGATTTTGCTGGGCAAAAAATCCATTTTCGTTTTCGATGCGCTACATGCGAACGAAAATTAGTAAAATTCGATAATTCAGAAATCACATCAACTCGTGTGGTAAATTTGAGCTTTTTTTGTTTTTTACACTGAAGCCTAAATTTTGTTAATCCGATTTTTTAGCTGCGCTACCCAACTAACAATTATCACTCCTATTAGAGTTGCAAGAATGATTATACAGTATTCCTTAAACAGCTTTGTATACTGAAAGAACATTGGCAAAACCCTCTTAGAACAGCTATACAAGCGGAATGGGCACATCTAATAGGACACTTCAGTCATTTAAGAGGTTGTATAAGGGCTGCAGGTAACAGTTATAAAACAAAAGTGTAAGCCTCTTGCAGCCGCTATAGGACATTTGCGTCAGTGCAAGATTCAGTTTTTGTCAACTATACAACTATTCTGTTACGTGATTCTACTTTATCGCAATCAAACTATTTCTTATGTATTGTATAGACGAAGTGAAGAATATATAACTAATACATTAGAGTCATCTTGTTTACTTACAGATCGGCCATTGTGAATTTCATACACAGGTATATGATAAAGTTCTACACTTTGATATAGGGCTATTGAATTACTTGCGCAGCAAATTTTATTGTGATTATCGTGCAAATTAGTTAGCCAATTTCTACGGGCTTCGTATTTGATTCATATTTTGACAATGATCAAAAGTATGTCTAGATTTTTAAGATGGAAAACTTATACTTATCTTCCACAAATCCTATATTTAGACACAATTACACTAATGTTTATCACTTTATATCCGTAATTTCGAACAGAAACATAATTATTTGATATTAATAGAGGAATAAATGTTCGCCCAATATGGCGGGTGGTTGTGTTCAATCATGGCATCGTCCATATTGTCTTTAGGTTATTAGAATATTTTGGTGTTGCCTGCAGGTGTTATACAACAGTTTGACAAATGTCTGAAATGAAATACCAATAGAGTCGAATGATTTACCCAGAATTTGTACCAGATCTATATCTTCTGTTTGAACAGTTGATAAAACCTTTTGAACCAATATGCATGCGTTGTTTGTCTTAAAACATTGGTTATGGCATTTTAACAAAAATATGACAGCAGAAACTTAGGTTATGGTGAAGTTGTTTACCAACAGCACGGATTTCTCCCTGGTCGATCAATAATGGCCAACCTTCTCCACTCTCTCAACGATTGGACTCAGTATCTGGACACAAAGACTCCTGTTGATATAATCTACTTAGACTTTTCTAGGGCTTTCGATCGCGTACCACATAGAAGGCTTCTGTTTAAGTTGGAATGTATGGGAATAAGAGGCGAGTTGTTACTGTGCATTAAGGCTTTTCTCACCGGGAGGACTTTCTCTGTGCGCGTTAGTGATAGCCAGTCTCACGTTCATCATGTAGCAAGTGGAGTTCCTCAAGGCTCTGTCTTGGGGCCAGTGCTGTTCCTTCTGTATACAAGTGACCTGCCCGCATTGATTTCCTCAACATGTTCAGTTTATGCCGACGACACCAAGATTTACAATACTGTCGTAAATTCTGCTATGCTTCAACGAGATCTTGATATTGTTTGTCAATGGTCAGTCAGTTGGCTTTTACCCTTAAATCTAACTAAGTGTTGTGTCCTTCACCTCGGGAAGACAAATCCGCGATTTACATACAAGATCTCTGACCACAACATCGAAGCAGTTTCAGGCCACACTGATCTGGGCGTTGTAGTCAACGATCGTCTTTCCTGGTCAGAGCATATTCACCACGTTACATCAAAAGCCAAGAAACTTCTATACATGCTGGAGAGGTCTTTCAAAGGATCCGATGTCAACACTTGCGCCTACATTTACAAGGCATTCGTGAGGCCAATTCTTGAATTCGCTGGCCCGGTATGGGACACTGTGCTTCTGCGCGATAGAAATCTCGTCGAATCAGTACAGCGTCGGGCTACTCGTATCCCTTTTGGAGCACGAAGACCAAGCTATGAAGATCACCTTGAATTATTCAACCTGACCTCATTCTCTGAGCGAAGACTTCGTGGCGATCTTATAGTTACGTTCAGAATACTTCATGGTTTGATGGGCACCAACCTCATGCATCTATACCGGCTGTCGCGCAGCAATCTACGCGGACACAGCTTCAAACTGCATAAGGAGCCATTTAAAACAACAGTCCTGCAGTGGTTTCTTCCCAACCGCATATTCAACACCTGGAATAGTTTACCTGAAAGTGTGGTTGGTGCTACTTCAGTTAATAGCTTCAAAGTGCAGTATGATAGCTGGAGGAGTGTACAAACTTTATAGCTATGAACTGTCTTTTTTATTTTTTTCTATTTGATGTATTTGTGTTACGTGTCCGTACACTATATTTACTGCATGAGCTTATACGTATAGTACTGTGTACTCTGCTCATCTCAATTATCATAATAATAATAATAATAATAATAATAATAATAACATATTTAGCATATGTACAGCCTTTAACAGTTACTAAACAACAGTTGTATAAGTGCTTCCGTTGGAGCAATTTGTTGGCTAAGGTAGTAAATTGCACAGCAAAACAACAAGGCTCGGGTTTGTTTTATAAACGTTACCATGGATGCCACAACACAACCATTTTGACTAACTTGCAAATATGCCGTATAAAATAGTTGTATAAATGTTTATGCAACAGTTAAAAATTTGCCATATAAGGTGTTGTATAACTATGCTATAAGAATATTTTAAACACCTCATTTTAGAGCAAATATGTTGCAGAAAGCAAATTTGCATTCCACACAACATTAAGCCAGCATTTTGGTGTTCAGGCAACAACAATAGAGAGCTTTTATGGCTGAACGGTTCTTTTACCAAAAGCTTATACCACTACTTTGCTAGTTGGGTAATGGAACTGGGAAAAGCCTCCTGTTGTAAACTGTTCCACAATCTCGGCACCCTCGGGACAAAGAAGCGGTCATATCGGCCAGTTCTGGACGTACGAAGTTCGACACGGTTAGGATGGAAGGCCGAAGTCGGGCGGGTCTGTCTGGCAGGCACATCGCGCGGCGGCATCATGAGGAGCAAAGCCCGTTATTGTAGTGATAAACAAGAGCTAGCTCGCCGCCGGCCCGCCGGTGCGAAAGGGTCCCGATACAGTCTGTTAAACAAGAATCATCGATCAGTCGGACAGCCCTCCTCTGAAAATAATGTAGTCGGTGTGGCAGCACCCCAAACGTGTGACCAATACGCGAGGCTAGGACTTATCTGGGCCTTATATAGAAATCATGCGGAGAAAAGTACTTCTTAGCAGTAAACAAATAGTCTAGCTTTTTCCCAGCAGCTGCCGCTATTGACGAGATGTGTTCGTGTCAGATCAAGTCTCCGGTGATCTGGACTCCGACCAGCCGAAATGAACGGCTTGTTGCAAAAATGAGGCCATCTATCGCGTCCTCTTCAGATGGACTCACCGTGTCAAATAGATATCGGATTCGGTATCTACGCACTTATTATTCTGCTGTTTTTATGACTATGTACGTATGTCTACCAATCTACAATTGATGTTTTGTGGAATTGTTATTTAGCAGCGAATAGTTTTTCGTGGTTAGAAATGCAATAAAATACCCCAAGAGTTCACAACGATTTTATTTTTCCCTAAAAAACACTCAGAATATTTTATCCTCCAAGAAATCCTCAAGGAACGTAAATATCCTCTAAATTTGGGGGAACCCTCCAATATGATAGCCGTGATCCTAGCGCCAAACTAATGTCGAATTTGAAATCTATACACCAAGTTTATCCAGGAAACGACTGACACAAATCTTCAAAGATCTCACATCAAACAAGAATTATCACACAATTACATGAATATTGATAAATCTTAATAGGTTTTGTGGCCTGATATGATCTGAAACAGGTAATTGAACTGTGTGACTTAATTTTGAATATTGACGTACTCAATTGAATAGGATAAGAGATTCTTGACAGCAATTAATATCATATTGATTATTGCATCGACACTGATCATTTAAGCAAAACGTTTTTAATGTTATCCCACGCGCCTAAAGAAAAACTTCAAAAAGTCACACTCTCACACCAGATTTTCCTTCAAGACTTTCAGTATCAGATATAATATCGTTTGTTACTAGTTGTCACTTATATTTTTTTTTTAGGTAGCTCGACTTTTTGCTGATGCCGGGCAAATCTGCTTATGCAGTTTTGTATCTCCATTCTCAGTAGACAGGCAAATGGCTAGAACTGTCCACGAACGCAGTGGGTTGCCATTTTTTGAGGTAAAATTTTACAATATTGTCATGAGTTATTATTAATTATTAAACACTATACAAGATTACAAAAGCAGCCAATACTTTCTATATCACTACACAGGGTGATTATAAAAAAGTTACCAGTACATCTATAGGGCATAAAGTAAACTCAAAAATACTAGAAGAAGAAGGGTGTTGAAATGATAATTTCTAAATCAAAAAACATATATCTTTAGGGTGGATTCAGATGTTGATTCAAATTTCTACATCTAGTACTGATGGTATAGTTGATATTCATAAGAATTTTTGTGACTAAGACTACACCAGTAGCCTAGAATTTGGAAAATTACTTTTTTGAAACATCTATTGCATTTTTGAACAGGGTATTCAATTTTACACGAATCGGCCTTGTCAGTCTTTTTCTTTTAGAGTAAAATTGGTTTAAATATTTGAGGTCAAACTATATAAAAAACTAAAACTCATTCGAATTTGGAAACACGCTGAAGGTAGGGAAGTTTGAAATTATATGTAGTATACAGGGTGACGCGAAAATAGATGCGGAGCCAGTGGGGGGAGATAGTCTGAATCGATTTTTCTATAGGAACTACTGTCCGAAAATTAGCCGTTTTCGAATTATACTAATTTTTAAGATTTTATGAAATTAACGTCCTTTATATACTAAGTGACATATAAATCCGAACACCCAGTTTAAATGGTTTTATTTTAATAAAATTTTGTATAAGTACTTAATGAAGCATAATAAGTAAATGATAAAATTTCAAAATGATTGCACTGCTTTAAAGCCCTTTGACCTTTAATAATGTGTGGATGCACCCTGATGTGTTACGCATTCTCCAACGCGCCTAGGCATGCTTCTGATCAGGTGGTCAACGTCCTCCTGTGGTATCTCATTCCAGGCAACCACCAACTCCTCTCGAAGTGCTTCTAGAGTCTGAGGAGGACGTTGCAAATTGAGTAATCTCCTACCCATCATATCCCACACATGCTCAATTGGGGATAAGTCAGGAGATCTTGGTGGCCATGGTAACAATGTGACATCATTATGTTGAAAGAAGTCTATTGTGACTCTTGCAACATGTGGTCGGGCATTATCTTGTTGGAAAGTTGGATCTGCCAGGGTGTCAAGATAGGGTAAAAGATGGGGTTCTAGAACTTCGTGGATATAACGCTGCGCGTTCATGTTACCTCTGATGAAGATTAAAGGTGACCTGGAACCATAAGCTATAGCACCCCAAACCATAACTCCAACAGTGTGATGAACATGTCTTTCAACAAAAAACTGTGGATTCCTCCTTTCACCACGTCGCCTTCTAACCCTGGCACGACCATCGTGCATGCCTAAACAAAATCGAGACTCGTCAATAAAGACAATACTGTTCCATTCCTGATCCCAGAGTGACCGTTGTCTGCACCACTCAAGGCGATTACGTCGGTGTTCTCGAGTTAAAGGGAGGACCCAGTGTGGCCGGTATGAAAACAAGCCAAAACTTCTCATTCGTCGGTAAACACTTCGCATGCCAATAGGTCTTCCGTGTTCTGCAAACCATTCATTTGCAATGGACCTGGTAGAGGAGAAACGGCCCCTTAAGGCCAATAATCTTAGGCGGCGATCTTCACGGTCTGTTGTTCTACGGCGGCGTCCAGTGCCCCTTGCTCTTTGCGTACGGCCTTCTCGAAGCCATGCCTGACAACACCTAACCACAGTGTCTACACTTCTTTGCACTCTAACTGCAATTGCCCGAAAAGAAAGTCCAGCTTCCCGAAGTCCCACTATACGGCCCCTATCAAACTCACTAAGTTGACGAAATCGTACAGGTCTCCGTACTCTAGGCATCGTAACCGATCGTAAAGGATGTCAAGAACCAAAATCCGCCAACGTTGATTCTTTACTGCGGCTGAAATACTCATTTTTAGAGCGTTAGTGAATTAAAAAAAAGCAGTATAAAAACCGGAATGTCCAACCGATAAGGCTGAAAATTTTTTCACTTGTTACTTACAGTAAGATAAATACATTCACCAACTTTTATTAAAATAAAACCATTTAAACTGGGTGTTCGGATTTATATGTCACTTAGTATATTGCAATTTTACACGAATCGGCCTTGTCAGTCTTTTTCTTTTGGAGTAAAATTGGTTTAAATATTTGAGGTCAAACCATATAAAAAACTTCAATTCATTCGAATTTGGAAACACGCTGAAGGTAGGGAAGCTTGATATTGAAAGTTATATGTAGTATATAAGGGCAGTAAGCCTAGCTCACCATAGTGTTATTTGAACAATGCCCATGTTTTGTAATTATTGAGTCTCATCAATGGGGTAGAAACCCTGTATCTTGGTAATGGGACATATCAAGACATTATTTTGGATATTCTGTTTTACCACGAATATTTCCACGTTTTTTTTTAATCACCTTTGTATTTTGCTTGCAATTAAAACCTATCTTTCCTGGACTATCATTTTCTATCGTCGGAGTTTGTAGCGAGCGACTTAGCCAATTTGCCGCTTAAGAGCGTCAAAGCTACCAACCTCGAGCAATGTACTTTTTCTGTCGTTTGTAGAAAAAGCATTTTCTTCTGCTTACTGTTGAACTTTCGTAGGTTTTCGTAGATACTCCACTTGCAGTTTGTGAACAGAGAGATGTGAAAGGTTTATATGAAAAGGCAAGGCAGGGACTGATCAAAAGCTTCACTGGTATAGATCAAGAATACGAGAAGCCAGAACATCCCGAATTGGTACTGAAGACAGCCCGTCACACTATCGAGCAGTCTGTGCAGCAAGTTCTTGATTTGTTGAAAGAACACGTAAGTATCTCACTCAAAATTGATAGACGACTTCCTTCTTGATCGTAAGATATCGATGCGAGCGCCCCACAGGGATCAGTTTAACAACATTGTTTCTATAATTAATAACCAGCGTGAAAGCCGTAATTTTAACTATTCGTATGATCCTTGCTCTTGTTTGAAGTCCTGCAGGGGAGTATGTCAAAGACAGGAAGGAAAGGAAGATCAAAGCAGGCTCTTACCTCTTCGACACTGGCGAGGAAGCATTGTAATCGTAAAAAAATCAAAAATGTGTTATGATTCTCGGATGTTATATGTCATGTACATCACGAAAAAACATGTCACCCTTTCTGTCTTCCTGTTGGTTGGCCTGTCTATCGGTCTCCCTGTCCGCTACTCCCCATAACTTTAAGATTCGATAGAACTTTTAAAATTAATGCATAAAGTCTATATAAACATGGGTCCAAAAATGCGTGGCTTCCGAAATACAGGGTGTTTAAATTTACTTTCTAAAATAGTTTTTTTTAAATATTTCGAACAATATTTGATGTATAACAGTGAAAATTGGTATACAAGGGTTTTTTGGTACGACAAAACGAACCATGGGCATGGTTTTACTGTAGCCGCTAGAGGGCGCTCTCTACTATACCTGTAGTGTATTAAAATGACCGAAAATTTTTTCTTAGTGCAATTTTTTGCTTTTTGAATAAAAAAACTGATTCTTCGCACTTTTCAACATAAAAAATCTCTCTTGTGATTTTTCGTTATAGTTAGCCGTTTTTGAGATATTTCGATTGTTAAGGTTCGATGCATTTTTAATTATTTATGATAAAATAACGTTAAAAAGTCAGTATCTCGATAATTTTTAGAAGTAGGCTGTGCCTGCAAATATTTTTGAAATTGAAAGGAGAATAAGGTTAAACGTCAATTAGTTGACAGTTAGTTTTGTTGTCTGTTGAAACCTGAAACGTTTTTTTGCACTTGTGAATGCACGAAATTTAGTTTCTTTTACCTGTTTTTTTTTGTAAGTTTTATAAAAATGCCATTTTTATTCTCCAATCAAGAGTTAGCGGTTATTTATTTTGTGTATGGCTTTGTAAATGGAAACGAAGCAGAAGCAGACAGAGAATACGCACGAAGATTTCCAAACAGACGACATCCAACTCGCTCAGTATTTGTAAGAGTGCATCGCCAAATAATTGAAAATGGTTTTGGAAATCTCCAAAGGGATCAAAACATAAATGTTCGTTAGCGCAGATTTACCCGTATGATTCTGCGTGAGTTTGATAGAGATCCAACTACAAGTGTTAGGAGAGTTTCTGGTGCCTTGGGAATTTCAGCAAGCCATGTTCACCGTGTTCTTAGAAATGACCATAGACGTCCTTACCATTTGCAACCTGTGCAAGGACTACAGCCAGGGGACGGAGAACGAAGAATCACATTTTGTCAGTGGATTCTTGATAGAACTGAAAATAATAGGGAGTTTTTAAGTAACGTTTTATGGACCGATGAGTCATGCTTCACTAGACGTGGAGTGGTAAATTTTCATAATCAACATATTTGGTCGCATGAAAATCCGCATGCAGTTCGGGAAAGAAATTTTCAGCATGAGTTTAGTGTGAACGTGTGGATTGGTATCTACCGTAATCGACTATTTGGACCCTACCTTTTGCCTGCAAGGTTAAATGCTGCGACCTTCTTGGAATTTTTAAAGGCTGAACATGCAAATATGTGGGATGATGTTATGTTAGATTTAAGAAGATTGGCCTGGTTCCAGCTTGATGGTTGTCCAGCTCATTAGTCGAGAATAGTTAGAAACTGGCTGGACGAAAATTATCCAGAAAGATGGATCGGCCGTGGAGGACCAGTCGCCTGGCCTCCACGATCCCCTGACCTAAAACCATTAGATTTCTTTGTGTGGGGATTTCTAAAAGAAAAAGTGTACCAGACTCCCGTAACCACAAGAGATATGCTAATAGACAGAATCAGGAATGCATGTGATTAAATAAGGCCTTATTTGAATAATGCTATACCACGTTCGATCATTCGTAGATGTGAATTGTGTATTGAACAATTGGGTTTACATTTCGAGCAACAACTTTAGATTTTGTATGTTTGTCCTAACTATCCAGTTGTAAATAATTAATTTAATTTGTTAAAAATAATATTGGAAAATTAAACAAATTAATATTCTGTTCTTTTGTGTTTATTTGGAGTTACGAATTATTGCTGTGTTTAAAAACACAATCTAAACGATCATCTTAATTACTTGTAATGCCCAAATCGAAAATGTAAAAAAAAATATTATTTTCCCATAAGTAATTAAAAATGCATCGAACCTTAAAAATCGAAATATGTCAAAAACGGCTAACTATAACGAAAACTCACAAGAGACCTTTTTTATGCAGAAAAGTGCGAAGAATCAGTTTTTTTGTTCAAAAAGCAAAAAATTGCACTAAGAAAATTTTTTCGGTCATTTTAATACACTACAGGTACAGTAGAGAGCGCCCTCTAGCGGCTACAGTAAAACTATGCCCATGGTTCGTTTTGTCGTACCAAAAAACCCTTGTATACCAATTTTCACTGTTATACATCAAATATTGTTCGAAATATTTAAAAAAAACTATTTTAAAAAGTAAATTTAAATACCCTGTATTTCGGAAGCCACCCATTTTTCGACCCATGTTTATATAGACTTTATGCATTAATTTTAAAAGTTCTATCGAATCTTAAAGTTATGCAACAATAAACTGAAACACCCTGTATAGCATGGAAAGTACCGCTTAGATTTTGTGAAATTCTCACACAAAGTTATTAACATGCCAAGAACGAAAAAGTTTTATAGTTTTTGGTAATCGGTCCAGCGATTGCGAAGAAAAAAGACAAGAACGAAAATCGAAAGATCATAATCATTTTTTAAACAACTCTTAGAGGTAAATAATTGGAGGTGGAAGGATGTAGGGGGTTGAGTAATATTTTGGTGGCAGTATATTTATAAACTTCTAACCTCAGTAATTCTGCGAGACTATTGGCATATTCCATACATCTTATATTGCCTCGTATATTTGCCCTTAGGACTATTTATTATTTTGTCTATAAAGTGTACAGGCCGCTGCTAGCCATCGGGTCAACATCCATGCTACAAATGTTTTACCTGGACAGCTGAGATGAGGTCAACGATGCCCCGGCGAAGTAATAATGGCTACTACCAGGGCAATACATTTTATTGAATATAAATACAGTGCAACCCGCTTATAATGGACACGGCGGGACTGTGACAAATAGTCTATTATAGACGGATGACCATCTTCAAACGAACTCTTTTTTTTAATAAAAAAAGCAGCAGAAATAACATATTAAAAGCTTAAAAGGTGTTTGTTTAACATGTATTACATAAATAAAGATACATACAAAAAAGTTATACGTAATTTTGGAATTTGCATTTTTTCAGAATCTGATACACATATTACAGGCATACGTATACTTTACCTGAAGTCACTTGAAATAGCATAAAAACCTTTGGTCGGCGCGTCCTTTGTAATTTCATGACGTATCATAGGCGTGCGGTGATTTATTTAGAACGATAATAATAATGTTTTTATATCACAATAAATGGACTTTACTATCTTCTTATTTTTTTGATTTGGGATAAAAAATACTTATATTGGGAGTTTAATTTATGTTGACTGAAAGTTAAGAAATGGAAAAATTACAGAATTCCAACGTTTGACATAGGCAAATATTTACATAGCAGGTAGGTATATAAAAAGGTATATAAAGACTTACATTATAGGTATTTATATATCATCCTCGCCTTCGGAGCTGTCGCTAGAGTCATCTTGTAGAGGAATTACAACGGGATTTACAGGAGGCAAAACACAATATTCATTTTCTTTTTCAATAATATGCCTAGAACACTGCTTCCATAGGTCTGTGTCAGCAATATGAGATACTGCATCTCTTATTGTGGCCAATAGCGATTCACTTAATTGAGGGGTCTGATTGTGTTTTCTTACTTTTTTTTTAAAGCAGCCCAGACCAACTCAATCGGGTTAAAAATGCAGTAATAGGGAGGTAGACGTAATACTTCATGGCCATATTGCTGAAGCAGATTGTCAACAACATACTCTTTTTCAAATTTTTGTCTTTTAATAAGATCCAATAATATGGCTTTGGTTGGTTTTTGTGGTATTTCCATTCCCTTATCCTTCATAAAATCAATAATGTCTTGTTTTTTTGTGCCTGTATTCGGAATTTTGTTTTTCTGTCGGGAATGGTATGGCGCATTGTCCATAATAATCACTGAATTTGGGGAAATGTTTGGTATTAACTGCTGCTCTATCCACTTTTCAAATAAGTCGGAGGTCATGTCCTCATGATAGTCGGCACATGATTCTTTGATATTTTTGGCAGATAACAGCAAGGCATTAGGTATAAATCTATTTTCACTGCCAGCATGGAGAATAATGATTCGTTTTCCACGGTTGCATGGTGCATTTAAAATGCACTTGTTGCTGTCGTCAACCCAGCCGTACTGCACAACATCATGGGTATCATACCACGTTTCATCCAGGTAAAGCAGATTTCTTTTCTGCTCTCTATAGATTTTAACTTTGTGCAAAAATTCTTGGCGCAATTCAACGATTCAAGACGACTCCATAATCACCATTCTTTTATCTAATTTTTTGTATTGAAAACCACACAGTTTTACAATACAGTGCAGTGAGTCTAAGCATTTGTAATTATAAAAATCTTCAGGATAATCTTTTAATTTATCCCGAATCATTTCCAACTTGGGCACCAAATTTTCTTTATAAAATCCGTATATTATACGACGAATATCTTCTTGAAAACCCACGTCTATTCTTTTTAATTTTTGCCCTATGCGCTTTCTGTGGAAGGAATGGTTGACTACATCTCCCCTTTTTATAACCCGATAAATGGTAGACCGACTGATTTTTGTCAGGATACAAATTCTGTTTAAAATTTGATTTTGCGAGGAATCTGGATTTTCGTTTTAA